TTAACTAGAATTCCTGAGCGCAAGCCAGATGGACATTTTCTCAGTGGCTTGTTCAAGTGAAAATTGCGACTTTGTTTTATGAGAGTCATTTAGCAGCACTTCAAATAAAAAAGACAGCTCCTTACAATTTTCGCAGTTACCTTTATTTATGCTCAGCGTGTTGTTTGTTGAAACATTAATAGCTAATCTGTAAACAACCTTAGCCATGGCACTGTATTGGAAACAAGGGTTGGGTAGGGCACATATGCAATAATTGAAATAGGAAAATTAATGAACCATCTATTTCTGTTAATGGTGTGAAAAAAAAAGGCTACTAAAACCAGCAGAATGAACTACTGTCCTCAGGTCCAGCTGGGTAGGAAAGACTGTTTAAACACCTGCAGGCTTTTCAGATAACAGTATCTTCAACTTTACGCAGTTCTAGTCAAGCAAATAGATCTTATGAAAGACACCAAGTTTTCCTGGTTGGGCCAGTGCCAGTGAAAGGGGATATTGAGATGTGATTTTGAAAACTGCTAGGCATGACCTTGAAGGGTCATTTTGTGCTAATTGCTCATGATTTGATAAAAAGGCCTGTGCTTCTTCAGGCCCCTACAAATGGTGGTTGGGGGGGGGGGGGGGGGGGGGAAGAGAGAGGTGGTAAAAAGAATTGCCCTTTTGTCTGGAAAAGAATCTCTTTGGCTTAAAATTTGATTTTGGTCCTGTCATTTATTAAGTCAGATCATTCAAGGGGGGGGGGGGAGGCATTTTTTTAGGGATAACCCCTCCTTTAATTTGGGGGCACCAGACCTGTTCTTTCAGTGTATATGCCTTTCATTTAAAGCTTTAGGGTTTCTTTATTGTGTTTTTGTGGGAGTAACTTTTATGAAGAATTGGCATGTTTTTTTAATGCTGAAATAATTTCACTGAAGGTCATACAGTCTGACCTCAAAAGTTCATTTGTCTCTAATAACCAAGTTAGTCTTGGACTTAGGTAATGCTTAGTATACATTGGTTTATATTTACATATGCTTCATCTTGTTGCATAAGAAAAGTTTTTTGGGGGGTAAAGTTTTTTTGGGGGTGGCACTGGTTTCAACTTTCAACATCTTGCAACCTCAAAATTTTTGGTCCGGCCATTGTGACATTTTTACTTTTGTAGTGCTGTTAAAAAAAGTGGGTTATGAGACCCAAATTTTGGTGGTCTTCTCTAGCTAAAATGTGAAGAGTGTGACATACTTAGACACAATTTGATGAGGTTTTTTTGACAGTTGTCTACAGTCATTACTTGGCCAGGGTCCATTGAGGCCAGTGGTGAGTGCAAGACCATTTCAAACCTTAAGATTAAATAAATACTTTGTAACAGGATAAAGAAACAGAAGTTTTTAGCTGAAGATGTTATATTTTGCCCCACACTTTTTTTTCACTTTCTTTTCTTCAACCAGCATTTTTCACCAAGATTTAGTTTTTCTAGTACATGTTTGTGCCAGACAACCCAGTGCACACGAGGTTCTTGCAAGTACCTAGAGAGATAAATATTTGAAATAACCCTCACTCCATGCAGTGAACATGCCAATCAAAATAATGTACAAGTGCCATATGAGAAGAGAAGCACCCTGGTACTGGCTCCCTCTTCCTCATTGTTGGTAAAAGATTGTGTTTTACAGACATAAACATGTGAAATTGATAATGTTATTTTATAAAACCAATAACAAAAAAAAAAAAAAAAAAAAAAATTGTTCTTAGGAAGTTATATATTAAGGTTATTAAAAATATGAGGAGGATGCAGAAGATTTGAGTTCTACTGACATACTATTACTACTACTAGACTATTGAACAACTGTATGTGTTAGAAAGATGCACAGTTGCGCTGGCAAAAATCATGCTCAAATTTTTTTTCTGAAATTGTGATATAGGCCACCTATATTGTGATACAATTTTGATACATATGAAAAAAATTTAATAAGTTTCTCTTTAACAAGTATGGCAAAAAAATGGCTAAAGATATTTGAATAAACTCATCAGGACTTGATGGATGTGTTGACAAATTTTTGTATCACCCTGTACTTGAGCACCAGTGAAAGTATTGCCAGACTGCACCCAGTGTGTACACAAAATACTCCACTTATGGATTAAAAAAAAATCATCCTTTGTATGTTGTTATATGAAACAATTGAGATCAATAGATCAAACTCCAGAAGTGTTTGTTCAGAAAATTAGAAATCGGTTTGGTTTCATCATGTTTTTAACAGATCATAACAGTTAGTGCCACTGAGTACAGCCAGCCTAACATTGATTGACTTCTAACTCATGCCGTCTTCTCTCTCCACGCACATAATATATTGCAAGTCTTCTGGTATTTTTTCAACATGCACACAATAACACGACTTTAGCTGGAACCATTTGTTACATCGTGACCTCAGAAATCTCAGGGGCACGTTATTATTTGGTTTATGAAATGCAGACATACGCTTCATGCAGTTATTGTTATTTGTCTGATGAATTACAGATCCCCCTCGAGACCTATGAGAATAGGGTGGGGGTGTCTTATGAGACCTGTGTGAGTAGAGGGTGGCCTATGAGACTTGTGTGGGTAGGGGGTGGCCTATGAGACCTGTGTNGGCCTATGAGAGGCCTGTGTGAGTAGGGGGTGGCCTATGAGACCTGTGGGAGTAGGGGGTGGCCTATGAGAGACCTGTGTGAGTAGAGGGTGGCCTATGAGACCTGTGTGAGTAGGGGGTGGCCTATGAGAGACCAATGAGAGTGGGTTGGGGGGGGGGGAGATTTACAATTTGACAGCATATGGATATGAACCTTTTTTTGTTGTCCTTTTTTCCTTTGATATTAGGTATTTCTTTACAAAATATGGATATAAAATTTTATAACTAGGTATACTTGTGTGGTTTTAGTAATATAGGGTGTGACACTGCTATGTAATAGTGTCATTTTGGATCGGCTGTAATCACTTGTGCACCCACAGACAAATCCAAATCCATTTTGGCTTTGCCTTCATCTCGCTATTGATTTATAGGTTAGGTTAACCATTTTACACGGAAATGATACTCATCAATTAAACAAAAAACCATTAAAGATTGGATTTAAGAGCTAACCCTTTGGTTACACTGGACATATTTTCTTATGTCTACAGGACAAAAATTAAATAGAGAAAGATCAGTTGGAAAAAAAAGGAATACGGTGAATTACTCCTCTAAGGGCAGGGGTTGGTAAGGGAGGGTGTGCCCTCTGGTGACACCTGTTATATAGCCAGTGATGTATAGGTCTAAAAAGGCGAGTCTGGTAATGTGGGTAACCCAACCTTAATGGTACTGCCCATTTAATGTAGGAGGGAAATTGATGAGGTTCAGGCTATTCATTAGACCATCTTAGGTTTTCCACACTTTTCTTAATTTAATTCGGGGTAAAATGGCCTCACTTCCCACCGCCATGTGTTCAATAGGTTTTTTCTATGGGAGAATAAGATGAGCGTAAAGTGAAGGAAAAAGGATCTGAAACTTGCAGTAAAAAATTGCTTGTTTAGTGACCGCAGATAGCTTTATGTTTTTGTGAATGACTGACAAACAGCGCCTGTCTACAATGCATAATGTGATTTGAGAAGTTTTAGGATGTTTGAACTGTCTGGGGCTTTCCAAATGTGATGCTGTAGCAGATTTATTACAGCTATCATTTTGGTCCATCCTCCCTCCTCCATTGTGAAGGAAAGACTATTTTTCTTAAGCCACAGATCATATGCTTATTGACATATCACGTGGTGGAGAAATAAAGTATGGAGTACGGTTATCTTATCATGGTATTATATATAAGTCTCCTACCTTCTCCACTTGCTTGCTTGCTTTTAAATGAATTGTCTGGTGGGATTACACAACAAATAGCCAGCTATAACAGATAATATTAATAGTGTCTGACAAATAAAAAATTTAGCAGTAAACAGCTATTTAAGTACACGTGTGTTGAATTTGAACAAGCCAGACAAAAACTGACTAAAACAGACAAGCGTGAATTTTGGCATTGCAAAAGTTCTCATAACAATAGAAAAACAAAATTATTGTATTAATGAGGTTTGCCAGGAAAACATAGAAATATTTACAGTAGAGTAGGGGGCCAAGCCAAACATTGTTGGTTTGGATTGTATTTTGAAATTAACCAGAAAATCCCATAATAATGAGAACTGCTTTTATATCAAATATTGCATTGTCTGGAGGATTAGGAACTAAAGTAAAATATTTGAAGAACAGTTTAGGTGGTCTAACTGGAAAAAGGGGCAGGGTTCCACTTTGACTGAATCAAATTGGATTGAGACTTTTCTATTAACTGTAAAGAGGTGGAGGTCATGCAAAAGTGGAATTATAATTCTCCCTAAATTTGTAACAGTAAATCCACCAAACAAACTGGGATAAAACTTTGTTCAAATATAAATTCATCCAACTATTTGATGCTGATTGCAAAGACTTGCCCCAAGTAAACTTTATGCATTAAGCTAGAGCTGCCTTACAAACAAGATTTAATATGAAGTCTTATTTTTCATTGATCATGTTATGTTTTTGTCCTTTCCTATAGAGTGATACAAGGTTTGAATAATAAAAAGGAAAAATCCATTAAATAGGATGAATCAATTATTTTGTTTTTGGCATTTTCCTACGGTCAGTGTCCCTTGGTAACATTTGTTTTTGTTCACTGCTCCATGCAGTTTATGAGCTAAAAGTTTAAAGTAGCTTCTGAAAATATAATTTTTTCGTATCCATTAAGTCTCCTGTTATTTCAGAATCAATTAATACAGAATCACCTAAAGTATTCCTATTTATACAAACATGAAAGGTGGTCATATTTTATATTGAATCGAGTATTTAGTGACAATTAATCTGGCATTATTATGTAACCACACATTGAACAGTGATTTGAAAAACTATCCCACTTTGATCAACATGACTTCATATGTTCTTGTATCTTTTAGACTGTGAAACCTTACAATTCCATCAAATCAATATTGGATTTGTCCATTTCAGACCCAGGCTATAGTAATGGATTTGGACCCCAGTGTTTTGGGCTGGCAACATCTTCGTCCTACACACCAGCCACATCGCACTTCAGTGCCGTTAATGGCATGAGCTCAAAACTGATGCCTATGAATGGCGGCATGAGTCCACGCCACATTAAATTGCCCAATCACATGCTACAGAACCAATCGCCAACTCCCAGTGATGTATCCAGCATTCGTCTCAACAACTCGCGGCACCAGGCAACCACTCCCGCTATGTCAGTGTCCTCGGACACGCCGCGCTCTCCAGGGAGCAACACAAGTGAGCGGCCATCTTTTCTTGAACCAAGCATTCCCCCTGTGAAACAAGAGTGGAACGGTAGCTCGTATAAAGTCCTGCCAGCCATCAGTGGGAGTGACTATGGAGATCAGTCTCTACCACCCCCTAGTTCACTGTCCCACTATGCTGGCAGCCAGAACTCACTATCTCCCTTTCCAAATTTCATCCCAGAAATCTCCTCACCCTCTGGGTCCAGTTTTGCGAGCCCTCGCCAGTCTGCTCGCTCGAGGAAGAGGGCGCTCTCTTCTATCTCCCCTCTCTCTGCAGAAGGCCTGGACTTGGATCGTATTATCCGTACCTCACCAACCTCGTTGGTAGCGTACGTCAATGGGCACTGTATGTCCCCACAGATGGGGCTGCAGGCGGGCTGTTATGGACACTTATCGGCACGAAACAGCAGCAGCAGCCCCACCGGCTCAGGGTCCTCCAGCAACAGGCTGAACACACCGACCAGCTCAGTGTCTCACATGTCAGCCTCCTTTTACAAAAATGCCAAAGAGCAGCAGGATTTCATCGATGCGTCCACAGTGTCAAACTACATGGGTAACTTGGAGAACGGTCCCCACAACGGGATGCCTCCTCAGGGCAGCATGCAGAATATGATGGTGGGCCGCCAAGGGGATGTGGAAATGATGGACCACACCATGATGATGAATCAGATGAACACTTTTAAAACTGAACAAATGAATCAAATGAACTCTTTCAATTCACAGCCGGCAATGCCTCCAACGAGCATGAAGCCACCTCCTGTTCCATCGTCAATGCATTCTCAGATGATTCCGACGCGGCACCCGCCTCCGCGCCCTCCTCCACCCTATCCACAGGCAGTAGAACAGCAGGGGTACAACAGCAATGGGGAGAACTATGAACTAGAAGATGGGGAGAATCGACAGCTTACATGCAAGTGGATTGACTGTAACCAAATATTTAATGAGCAGGACGATCTTGTCCGCCATATTGAAAAAGTGCACATTGATCAACGAAAAGGGGAAGATTTTACATGTTTCTGGCAGGGATGTCAACGACGCTATAAGCCATTTAATGCACGCTACAAACTGTTGATACACATGCGTGTGCATTCAGGAGAGAAGCCTAATAAATGCACGGTAAGTGGAGAATACAGGTGCTCAGTGCTGTAAATAAACTTAGTTATTAAAATGTTTAACTGATATTTCAGATGTCACTGGAATTCAGATCCAGTTTTCATGTGATTATATTACTCTCTCTTATTCTGAGGAAGTTTGAATGCACCTGCAAAGTGGTTAATGTCGAAAGTCAACTTAATTAGTAAAGTGTTAAGCTGATATTCCAGGTGCCACCTGAATTTACGTCCAGTTTTTATGTAATTATATAAGTTTCTTGAGGTGTCACATGAGGTTTTCATTTTGTTAATTTCTGAGGAAGTTTGATCGTGAAGTTTGTAAAATAAGAACTACTAATCTGACAACTTAAAACTTTTGGATTACAGTGAAGTTGTGAAAAAAAAAAAGAATTCATATTTCTACAGATGTATGGGTGACATTTCATAACCTGACAGAAAGATGTTTTTCTTTTGCTTTGTGAAAGAAGAAAATTTGAACAATCAAAATTGGCTGGTCGTAAATCATACAAACTGCATTCGACACAAAAGTAAAGAACAATATGGTAAAGAACAACAAAAAAATAAGAAACTGTAATAAGGACATAAGATCTACCAGAAATGAAAACAGTCTGTCTGGTAAGTAGTGCACTCCACATACATATTGTGTATGTGACATGTCTGGTGACAGCTGTGGAGAGGCAACCCACACAAACCAGTGATCTGGTCCTGATCTCCTGTGTACTCTACGTGGAGCAGAATGGTCATGCTTTTGTAATGCAGTCAGCCTTCATTTCATCTGAGGTTAAATTATATTAGAAAAACTGTACTAATGCCTCTGCAAATCAGCAGGATAGGCTCCCTTGAACCTAGACTTAATTTGTGTTTGGCTTTTGCTAGGTAGCAGCCACTAAACATGGTACCTAGATCAGACAAATGTCACTGAAGGTGAATTGCAGGCAAACCTTTGTTTTACTGGACAGAAATTAGAAAAAAATACTATGCTGAATTTTGGAAAAAAAAAAGGGATGTGAAAAAGAAATATTTGTATGAAATGGAAGACGTCACTGTGCCGTCACACTGTTTTAGTAGTTGTTTTGCTGTAGATTAAATAACACCGTCTCAGTTTGTGTCAGAGAGTCGTACATTGGTACAGAGCGCCATTCTCTCCTTTATCTCTGTGAACCTTGTCTGCTGTACACAAAGCACCTCCAGGGTACTGTATAGTGTATGATGTAACACCCAGCACAGCCAGGATTTTAAAAAGAAAAAGAGGTGCATGAAGGAATTTAGTTCTGTGTAAAAATGAAACAGAACCTGAGGCAGTCATAAAAGTCTAATTTGATTTTGTGTTGCTTGTTCTCACAGTGTAGGTGCGCTTTGAAAAAAAAAAAAGATTTGATTTATACCCTTATTATCCCTATTTTTGTTGGTACCAGATCAATAACGTTCAGACGCTATCAAAAATTATGGAAGAAACTGACGTAACTTGACATGCACCAAAAAATAAATATGTACACGGGCATGTTCTTACACCCAGAAATAGGAAGTGTTAGTCATGTTAATGATTAATTGTATGATTTAGTGAATTGGTCAATTGTTTGGAAGTGGTGTTTTTGTTTACCTGGTAGTATTGTGGGTAGAGCTTGTTGACAGAAAGCTGAGTCACCAGCACTGATGACTACAGTGGAACAATTTGTTACACTTTGAGCAACAAGACTCTTATTTATCTCATAATTTAGGCTCACATTTGACACTTTGATGTAATGAAAAAGCCTAGGAGAAAATAAGATATAAAACACGACCAGAATTTCTGTTGCCCAGACGTTGCAACACAGCCTCAGTCCTGTTTTCAGCAAAATTTGAGCCTTTCAACCTGGGGCTTTGTTGTGTTTTAAGATTTCTTATCTAAGATTTAACTGTGTTTCTTTTTTATGTTTGTTATTCACAAATTTCTGTTCACAAAAGCATCTTTTACGCCCTGTTAAAGAGAGAAAGGTGAGAAAGACCATAGAAAGATTTCTTCACAAGAGGTACTAAGAATTCATACGCTTTAAAGTGGATCCCGTAATAACATGATATAAAGAACAAAATCAAAGGATAACTGAAGAATTGTCCATTACAAATAAAATCTGTTCTGTTTTGTTGATACAAAGTTGAAAGCCATTATTGTTTGAAACTTTTCAGCGTCTTACACATTATGAAAGGTTGGGTCACTGCAGGTTTGCAAAGAAAAGGCGAATAACCTGTAGTTGTTTACTCGCAGGGAAAATGGTTCTTTTGTATGAAGTGTCAAGTAGCGGAGGAAAGATAAAAGATGTCTATAGGTCCCAGCGCGTAGAGAACTTGTTCTGTAATAGCAGTTTGATGCTGCAAAGAAGGACAAATGTATATACCTGTTCTCTGTGGACAGGTAGAGTCAGGTGTGGACAGGTGTGTTTCTTACCTGGACATTGCAGCCTCTTGTCCAACATCCAGATGCAACCCTGCCTCTAAATAAACAAAGTAAAGCACGGACATAGTTTAGGATCTGCATCATCACGCCTGTGTGTGCTATATTATGTTTAAACAAAACAATGCCAGACTTAAAAACTGTTCTTATGAAATAGCCACTGGATAAGTACCACTACAAGAAGAAGAAGAAAAAAAAAACTCCAACTGTGCCTCATTCAGACAAATTGCACCATTTAATCCAGTTTCTTTTTATTTGTTTTGGGTGTTAAGTATCTGAAAAAAAAACTCCTCAAAATTACATAGCTCACTATCTTTTTCTGCCTCTGCCTTTTTTATGTACTTGTATAACAAGAAAAGAATATCCTCAGAAAAATGTTCTTGTTTGTTTTCTTTTAACATTACATTTGTGTTGTTTCTATTTTCTATGTATGGACATACAGTTTCATTGCATATTTTAAGTCATTTTGTTATTTTTTATAGCAACACATCAAAACTGCCCCTTTTTAACTCCATGAAATGTGGGGAAAATCCATCCAATGTCCCAAGTGTATGCTCACACAAATTTGTAGCTGTCACCTGATAGAGAAAAATGTGCATTTAATTGTATTTGAATTTGTCTAAAGTTTCATTGTACTCGTTATTTTGATACTGTCTTGTCTCTCATCAGCTCATTCTACAGGTGGTTAACTCCCTGTCCTTCCACCTGATATTGTTACCTGGTCCACCTTACACCTCTCAGCAACACTAGGAACACATTAAATGGTAATGATTTACTTCAAGACTGTGGACTCACAAAGGAGACCACTGACCATTGGTCATTTGAGAACCTGTGATGTTATGAACTGAGGTGAAAATTAAGAGCAAATGAGTGTTTTTCGTGAGTCGGCAGGCCTTCTGATACCCGCATGTTGTGATGGCTGAGGTCTGTGAACGTGTCGGGGTGTCACGCAGACGCGGGCAGACAGAGGGATTATGCTGCTGTCTTATGGGGACCACATCTGCTGTGTCAAGACAAAAAGGGGTATCAAAGAGCTTTGGTAAAATTTGAGTTGACAGTTGAACTGGTGCTGTAAGTTGGAATCAATTACCCGGGGAATTTACACATTTGTTGCTTCAATGTTGATGGTATTTGCACAAGATGGCTTTAAAAAACAAAACTTCATCAGGAACTGCTGTTGAAAAAACATCGAACGAAAGCCTGCCCCAATGGTTTGAAAGCTTTTAAAAGAAAATGTTGGTATTTTTGGTAAAGACCCCTATAGCAGGACTACCTGTGAAAGTTTTTGCAAGTGGTTTAAGTGGAAATTTAAGCACTTGTTGCACATTCTTAGTGAAACCCAACCCACTGAAAGCTGTCTAGGCAGAGCTACCTGCTGGGGAAGGCCTATGTATCTTCAGTAGAACAAAAATGTCTCCTTTCTGTGACAAACTCTGCTGTCTGATGTAACAGACAAATGTCAACCATATACCTCACGGGTCATGATTTAAGGTCTCGAGCATTTTTTTGTTCTCTGTCACAATGTTCCCCTTTACTGTTTTCCTCCTTTCTGTGTATCTGTAAGTCCCATCGAAGTAGAAGAAGAAAGAAGTCTTGTTCATTACAAAGGTGTTTCAGAAAAAGTCAAGTGAGTTTTGAACACTGTATATCACTGCAGTCAAGTATGTACAAAACCTTGATATCACATTTGCTTTGATGACTTTTTCCCAGGCCTCATTGAACCATCACAGTTTACAAACCAAATAATAAATGTCTCTGATTAGTTTGGTTTAAGATATGCTCCACGGTTTATGAAAATATTTATTGGTGTCAAATGTAGACCGCATTTCACTCTTCATCTTCTGGCTGTAACATGTGTGGACATAAAATAAATTCTCCAAACTGGGGTGTTGAGGTTTTATGACAGTGATCAAGGGGCGGAACCATAGATATTTTCTGACAGTCTTCCAAATTATCTTTGTCGATCCATCATGGCATCAGGCAGTTTCAAAAGCACCATTTTCAACTTGAAAATACATGAACATTCACAGCAGTGGAAAACGTTCTGGTGCATGTAGGTTTTGTGTCATTAGTAGGTATTATTTCAGATGTGTGATTATCACTGGTAGATTCAAAAGGGAAGAGGACATCCTGTTTTCAAAGCACATACCATATATATATATATTTCTGCTGATTATAATTACGTAGTTTACACCTTTAACTGTACATGGATATAGGGATTATCGTGTACTTTGCACCTGGTCTCAGTCTGATGTACTGAGATATATAATAACTTAAATAGACATATAGAATAGTTACATAGCTTCCATTGTGTGGATAGAAGGACCATGCAGCAAAATATTCCACCATTTTTTCTTTTCTTTCTTACTTTTTTTTTTACCGACAACTTAATTTTCTCATGTTAATTTAGACATTCAGACAGAAGTATGACCTGTTGATGCTCAGTATGATACATGACGCTGCGTAGGTGTAACACCCACACTTTTCACAACTTATCATGATTAGTCCATGTCTTTTACAAGATTGGTTCAAAGCTGTGAGATTAAAATTTGAGCAAATCAGCTTAGCCTCGTGGAATGTTCCTTTCTAGCAAGCAGACTTGAGATTGTTCCTCTCTAAGAAGTGCTATGGAATATGTTAACATTATGATCCTCAGGCAGAGTAAACAGACATTAAAACCGGGATAAAAAGACATGGAGCCATTTTCTTTTTTTTTCTTCTTTCTTTTCTTTTTAGGGAGTGAAGTATCTTGAGACCTTTATAAATAAAAACTTTAAGATATGGTATTATAAGTGAAAAGAGAATAATAGGTTTGGAAAATTTGATAAGAGGATTCCAAGGATGTTGCTCTCTTTTCCTTTTTCTCCTCTCCTTGTTCATTTTACCACCAAAAAATTATAACAGGAATGCTTGAAGAACACTTAATAACAATATGTAGCCTTTCAGGGGTGCATGCACCAAGTGAACAACTTTCTAGGTGCAAGGAGTATTGCTAGCTGTACTCTGACTTGCCCTTGAACTACCTTTTGCAGTTTGCGCAATATGTAAACATTTTGTCAAGCTATTACAGCGATCTGAAGTGCCGAGCCTTGTTATTAGTCATCTGGATCCAAACACTTTCATCAAATACAACAGCCTGTGGATGGTTTTTCAGTCAGCATGGTGTAGAATGTTTCTGTCTGTCATCTCTTGTTTTTTTCCGTTTTCTCCACTGCATACTGTCCCAGTCATTTTGGTATTGCTGATGAGTTTTCCCAGTGTATTGGTGTAGAGTCGGTCTGCCGCAGGCCTGGGTAAATACCTATGATAACAGCCATTGTGTCACTGCTGTCGTCAGCAATTTACGTTTTGCTGTAAAAGTGACGTAGGTTGTGGTAATCAAACTGGGCAACAGAGCTCATGCCCCCCCTTCCTCCCTCTTCCCCCATGTTGATAAAGTTAAAACCCTTTAGTTATACTTCAGAATATTCAGTATCATTCACTGAGCTGTAAAAAAAGATGAAGATACTTGTTTGATGGGCTGACATGTTTTTATTAGAGTAAAGATAGGTGTCTCCGACACTGCGGCCCTTAAGATTCCATATATCTCTCTATCATGAATTGATTGTTTGATCTAAAAGTTTGACGCGGTTGGAAATAATAGGGCATTGTTTTGCGGACCTTTTGATTTACTTGTGAGATTGATCGCAGTAGGGAAAAAACAACTTCAAAAAGATGTCTTTTCAGAATCCAAACTGTGCTGTGTAAATCGAGAGCAAATATCCATGGACAAGTGGCTTCAATTTCAAGGCACTATTCTGAGAGCTGGTTATGTTAGAGTAAATTACATGAAAACCATTTGTTGAACATTTTTCCCACTGGGTTTAATGGTTAGTGACAACAGGCTGGGGTTGGCCAAGTGCATGCCATTATTTGTGTTTCAGAAGTATTGAAAGTAGAAGTAAGTTACAAGAGATCAAAGAGCAGGAGTTTGGAGGACAGATCAACTGTACTGGAGCAGTTAATAGTACAGTCACCACACCATGTAGTAGCACTTCTTGGGCCTGTGATTTGCACAAATTTCATGTGTAGTTGTCATGCCTAGTTCAACTTTTCAATCAAAATTACTCGGCCATATACGTTGAAAATATTTGTGATTAAACAAATATAGGTTAAATAATGATAGCAATAAAAAGAAAAAAAAAAACAGATTCCCGACTCTCGTTGCTTACAATTGGATACATCCAGGGAACATTTTTCCACTTAATTGCATTTCCACTTAAAATTTACATGTCCAGAAATTAAAGTTTTTTTTTTTTGTTCTGGAGAACTTGGGTCATTAACGATTGCCATTGTAATTTAATTAAATGTACAAGTTAAAGCAACAGCTTGGTAAATCAGTGTTCAGACTTGGTAAGTTTGTTTTTGTCATTGAAACTGTTTGTTAAACAGTGGTATCCAGGGAATGACTCCTGACCTTTTTTGTTACTGTAACTAAAGGAAAACACTTGGTAAAAGCTACTTACCTTATTTGCCCTTAAATGTTTGCCATTATAGAAAGCATGACCAGAAAGAAAGAAGAAATGTTGCTTAAATTATGGTGGTATAAATTTTTTAGGAAATATGCTTTGAAAAACTGGAAAATCTGAAAGTGATATTCTTGAGAAATATCCGATGGAGCATTAACATGGGCACATCCCGTTAGAGATGAAACATCATGCAATTGTTCATTTCAATGCCTGACGCGTTTGGTAAAGACATTTTAGCCATACCTTTGTCAAGTTTTGAAAGGATATAAACTAGAAACCTACATATCAGTGGATGGAGTGTACTCTAAAAGAGAACAGAATGTGACACATTTGGTATTAAAAGTTCAGAAAATCACCACCATGGTTCACAGAGGGTTGCCATGGTTCATTGCAAACATGTCGACTCTGTCAAAGGACATTTGTGCTTGCCCAAAGAAATTTTCTCTCTTTCATTCCTTATATGATTTTAATGTTAAGTTTTAATGGGTTAAATTACACAATGAGCTTACTGGAATTTTGAATGCAACTTTTTATTTAACTAAGGTTAGAAATATGACAAATATCCTAAAATTTGGCTCTTTAATCTGCCATGCAGCTAACCTTCTAAGTATACAACCCAAGAGATTTTATGCAGAATCATGGTGTGACATGGATCATTTGTAGCTCTCTATTTCCCTGAAGGCAGCAAACACCAATGTAAATGCTGGGGCACACGCCTGGTTCTTGCTGAGGGCCTACATCACATGAATGTCATCCTACATGGCAACAAGGCTTGAAACAAGCTCTGTAGATATACATGTTTATTAGAGATGTGGTGAGATTATTTACCATACAAATGGAAACTGACAACACCTGCCTTGATAAAATTTACTATTTGCACAACATTCATATGAAGTATTGGTGAAAAAAAAAAGCGTATGGTGTGCTTCGTGACAACATTTTTATGTTTTTTTTATCTCTTTTACTCTTTTCAGTTTGAAGGTTGTAATAAAGCTTTCTCACGCCTGGAGAATCTGAAGATTCATCTACGGTCACATACAGGAGAGCGGCCATACTTGTGCCAACACACGGGCTGTCAGAAAGCATTCAGCAACTCCTCGGACAGGGCCAAACATCAGAGAACACATTTAGACACAGTAAGTACATTGGAAAAACAGGGTGTAAGATGAGGACAGCAGTAAGTATAGGAGATACAGGGATGGAAGATGTTTTTATATGCAGCTATACACCGGCCTACCCTGCCCTACACTACTCACTATTGTTTACAAAGAAAAAAACAAATGTGAACCCCCATTTAATCATTTGAAGCCTTCATCCCTTATCCTCAAATCATAGCCAGGTGGAACAAAGGCTTCTTTTTAATATCCATCAGTTATGAATTGTCAAACACAATGCCAGTTCTTAATTGAAATTCAATGGAATCTTATACTTTATTACTCTAGCCCTAGGATATAAACAGGGAACAATGGGGGTGCAGTAGCCCCCGGGGGCACATGGTGCCAAGAGTACTAGGGGCAACCTTCTTCAAAATATCAACAATAGTGGCCTTGATGAGGACAGGGCCTCTGTAATATAAATTGGACATGGGGATAATTGTGTTTTGGGACTGTTGAATAAGTCTGTAAGTTTGTATTACGCCAGCACAGCAAGGCTCTCACTGAATATCCAGGGAGTTGACTGAGATATCCTCCAGTATCCAAAGACCTGGCTATGAAGCTGCAGACGGCGGCAAATCTCAGATGGGTTTTGCAACATCAGTAAAACAAACATGATTTAAAAATGGTTAAACAAGGAACTTATCTCGAGATAAGATTAGAAAAACACTTTATTCTCTGAGGCTATTGCCAGTCCTTGTACCGACAGCAGGTGGTTCAGATGTTTTATGAGAATTTTTTTTCACACATGACCTAAAATTAACTCTTTTAAGATAATAGCCTAATGAATTGGGACATTTTTGACATTCCATTAATGGTGCACTTACACTTAAAAATCTTTCATTGTAGAAATTTTTCTGTGACTTGATGACAAACCCTACTGTAATGGTTTCTTTGGCTATCGTCACTGTTGTGGAACTGTAGAAAATGAGCTTATAAAGGGACCATAGAGAGCAAATTGTAAAAAACCCATGTCAGGGGGGCTAGTCTAATACAGCAAGCAACGATAACATCTCTGCCATCGAGGTGTTGATAGTGTCGTGTTCAGTGAAATGTGGACTTTATTTGCATAGTCAGACTGAAGGTGAATGGGACTGTGGAATCAAGGCAGTGCCTTATTTCCCTGCCAGTTTTGCCTTTCTCCTGACTTTTGCCCTTGTGGTCAATGATCGAATCAGTTTTTTCTTCCAGTTCAGCAGCTCTGCGACATTGTCTGAAAACACAGTTAACTTTGTGAAATAAGAATGAGTTTGGTTAACTTTGGGAGTCTGTGACAATTTCAAGATTACAGCGCACAGGGGCAGGGGCAGGTGCACCCTATACATCACCGCGGCCGAAAACTAGCTTGAAGCTACTTTTTGTTGATCAAACTACACAGTTTGTATGTTTTAATAGAATAGCAGTTGCTCTAACCCATCTGGGCCCACATTTAGATTTCTTAAACTCACAATAGATGCTTTATAAGCCTAACTAGTCTTGACTAGTGGCATGTAAACAAGAGCGTGCTTCATGTTGTTTACTTCAACATTTTTTCTGCGGAACCTATTCTTCTGTCCCATACAACCTGGCACAAACTGCAGCATGTTTGATGTGTGCAATGAATTGAAACCTCTAATCAATTTGGAGACACATCTTGAGACCCCTTTCCTCACCTTTTCATTTGTGGAAAAAATTAAAAAGCAAATGGAAAAATGGCGAGATGTTTGTCTAGGAGAATGTGCCTTTGAATTCAGAAGAACTGTTCAGACCTTCGCGGGGGGAGGAGCGGCCATGTGCAGATGTCCTCGAGTTTTCTCAAGGATTTCTTTACAAGAATGCCATCAAAATTGCTTTTGGTTGGTACTAATGAAGCAAAAAATTGTGACACTCACTTCCTCTATTGCCCAATCTTTCCCCTCTTTGTATTTGTCATACTTTGGCAAGCTTTCAATATAATTGTAACTCTGCTCAGATTTTAAATTGATTCAGAAGAACATTTTATCATCTCATGTTATGGGTTTTTGGTATTAAGGCACTTCACAGTTTTATCAAGTTTACAAAAGCTAAAGCTTGTCTTTTCTTTGACTTTATGATTTAAGAGGGTCCAGAAGTTGATACGTTGGCACCACATGGTACAGCTGACGGCTACAAGGCCTGGCTGGAGGACTGACTGGAATGCCATTTCACCATTTAAAATTCTAGTGCTGTTTTTTTTTATGTACAGACACAGATGTGTCTGTACATATTGCCATCACCTGCGTCTGTCGTCGCCGTCGCCGTCCCTGTCGCCGTCGCCGTCGCCGTCGCCGTGCACTTTCATCGTTAACACGATAAGTGGAAGACAGTTTTACTTTTTGGCTGTATATTTACAGAGCTGTTGAATATTCATAAAACGCAGGTCAAGTTCGAAAATTAGCATGTTTAGGCCATTATTGTAGAAGTTATGCTGTTTTTTCACTTTTCAGCATATATGCAACACTGTTAACACATTTTAAGGAAAACTGATAGGCCTGTTGTCATGAAACTCACAGGAGTAATCAATCTCACTAAAATGCAGGTCAAGTTCGAAAATCAGCATTATCGGGCCATTATTTTAGAAGTTATGCTGTTTTTTTCACATTTCCTCAAATTCAATTCTTAGGCATGTTAATAGTCTCATTATTTAACTAATAAAATACGTAAAGGTGTTTGTTTCACATTTCCTGCATCTTCACAACATTGTTAGTTGATTATGTAAAAATGATGGTAAACTTGTTATCGTGTTTTGTGTAATAAAGTGTCAAAAATGGAAATAAACTCATATTATTGCAGTTTGTCAGATTCAATCATCCACTATGTTCAGAATCTCAGAATAGAGGAAATTGGACATTTAACACTGTTGTATTGATATTTTCCCCATCTCATCAATTTTCTTAGTTGATCATATAAAAATGGCAGGAAACTGTTAATTTTGTTTTATGTTAAAAAAGTGTTAAAGATGGAAAAAACCCATTTCAGAACAGTGCTGTCTTGTTTTGTTTTTTTACTTTTTGGGAAAAAAAAGAAAAAAGGAACAAACTGTAGGATAACTATACAGAAATGCATTTTGTGATTTGAAGAAGCAATATCACTTTAAGATAACTCCTTTCAGGTTTTGAAACAACAAACAGTCTTAGTGGAGAAAAAAAAATAGAGGGATTTCTGCACCATAATTTAATTTATTTGCATCTCATACCTTTTATAAAGATCAAGTTCAACAATGTTCAGGCATAGGGCAAGTTTTTGAATTGAAGTGGAAAATGAGACGTATTTTTACTGGAAAAATCATGTGCTTTTGTCAGACCACCCTGACAACTTGAGCATGTAGAAAGGATAAACTGTGGCAGATAGGAGCACTTTGCCTGCTGTGGAGAACTGGGGGGTTTGATAAAGAACCTGTGAGAGGTATACTAGGCTTCCTGTTTGGCCATATCTAGAACTTATTATGTAAACTTTTCCTTCTCTAGATACTGATAATTGTGTTATGGAACACTAGCTTCAGAGAGTTCATAACCAGGGAACATTATAGGGGACATAGAATTGGGGGAGGGGGGGGGGAGCAAGTGATGCAGTTTGTAATATCAAAATAATATATGTGTGGAGGAATTAAATGAGATTGGATATGCTAGTATGTAAATGGAACTGCTTGGTGTCTGTTTTCACATATTGCCAATAGTAAACAGAAAAAGCTGAATAATCATGGAATTTTGAAATTATGTCATTACTGAGAAAAAGATGACCTGATACCTTTTGGGGCAAAAATTTTTACTGAGTGAACAGTCTGTTTTGGTCATGTTACATGATTGTCTCAAGACAAACATCATGGCAGGGAGAAAGGTCCACCAGAGGGCACCAAAGGTGGTAAAACATTAACCTGTGGCATGATGGAAACAGACTGTTCACTGAAATAAGTTTTGTCATAATTGTTTTGCACCAGTAGGAATCAAATCACCCTTTTTTCATGTGTTTAATGGTGCACAATAAAAGTTATAACCCCATATTATTGTTAATTTTTCCTTTCAGCATCCTAGCTGTCAAGGTCTTTTTAGCTGAACTTTTGTACAAGAACCTAAAAAAATTAAAATAACTAAATAAAAAAAAAGGAGGAAAAAAGGGCAACAGGCATCAACTCTGTCAGGAACCTTATTTTTAGTTTTGAAATCCGCCTAATGGACCCCTAGCCATACTTGTTCTCATTCATTAAGAAAATAAAAAGTATTGATCCTGGCTGTTCACATGGTGATCAGGACAATTTAGACCTGAGCTTTCACGCCTTGTGTCATGAGCCCTGTGTTAACAAACTGTATCAGGCTTCACTGCCACCCAAGTGTATGCTAAGGGGATAGAATTAAGAGCTTGGAGCTGCCCGACCATGAAAAAATACATTAAAAAAGTTATAATTAGTTACAGAAAGTCCAGTCCAAAGATCTTTAAGAATATTTTAAAAGGAGTTGAATCTACAAAATTGAGTGTCAAAGAAAAATTACATTCAGTAATATCAAGAACATGGAACAATCTAAGCCTTACATCCAAACTTGTCACAAGATCTTAAACACATCATCAATCAGCTGCGTCCTGAAGGTTGACAGCTTATGAAAACAGGACAAGTCAGTCGATTGCAACAACAGATTGCATAAGCTGAGGTACAAGATGTATTTTTTAGCTCCTTTCAAGTAGTTGTTGGCATGAATAGAAAGTCACAAAGAGTAACAATCATACAGAGAATGGTTTATTGATTTTGCCTCTATGATAGGGCATGATCAAGTTTACAAGTGTAATGTAATGATGATGTAGATTTTAATGATAATATGATAAAAATAATATGATAAAATAAATTATAGATGGTCGATTTGAGAACTCAAACACTGTATTCTTAATTATATCTTAAAGAAGTCTTGTTTTAGACAAACAAATGAAAAAATTACACAAATGACAAATTTTCAACAAAACTTTGATGAATGGACAAATTTGCACAGATTTTTTTTTTTCATTTTCTAAGTGAATGAAGATTTTTCCTTGACCTCTAAAATGTGTATATGCTAACAGATAGCTTTAACAGTCCACTTTTCCAAATAATTGTCTATCATAGCCGCCAGGGCTGCTCAGGACTTGGAGAACTTTCACTTCATGCCTGTCATTTACACCAACACAAATGTTAAGATTGTATGCTCTCCATCTGTAGTGTTTCTCTCATTCTAGATATATTGGACGTGTAATTAGTCTTTATCTGTATATTAAATAAATCTGGTGAGAAGTGCCTGGATCTATGCACCCTGAGTTTCACTGACCTCATTGTGATTGTTGTCTAAACCTCCTTTTGTTCTCTGTCACTGCTAAGCAAATTTGGAAACTCAATTTTTGGTGGCAAAAATCCCTCTAATAACCTTTATAGTCGTGGTTTATTAACCAATAAAATCATCCTAATTAGCCTGAGTTAGAAGTTAGAGTATAGATATACTCTCCACACAACATAAGTAGTTCTCTTCAACACAATGATGATTGGGGAGGGGGGAGTTTCTAGAAGATCCTGTAACTCGGGGCAATCAAATGTTAATGATAAATATAAATACCATTTTAATTTTTCCTTCCAGAAACCGTATGCTTGCCAGATCCCAGGCTGTACTAAGAGGTACACGGACCCCAGCTCTCTCCGCAAGCATGTCAAGAATCACACACAGAAGGAGCAGCAGGCTCGAAAAAAGGTACTACACCGAATGTCATGGGCAGTATTTGATTGTCATTTATTTGAATTAAGGCCTTTTTTATTTTACAAAAATCCCTGTCACCTTACAGATATGTACATATCATATTATAGGACATGAGGGAGCACAGCATGCACTGAGGTGACCGTTGCTTTTAATACTGTATCAGACCGTTCAGAATAAGTTATGTTGACCTAGCTGATGCACACTAACTACACAGGGACTCTTGCTGAATGCAGTCAGATTAACAGACTAACACGCATCCTCGAGCAGCTAGGGGGTGATTAACTTTTATGTGTACTTGTCTTCTGGAAGCTTTATCACTTCATTTTCAGGGTGAAAAGTGTGTATGTTCGTCCAGGTAGTTTGTAGTGTGTTTGTAGCTAGACCAACATAACTCTCTCATTGGCAGTCATAACTCTCATATATATCTTGTAGGAGGAGGGAAGGAATTCAGCTCCTTTTTTAGGGCTAAATGAAAAGATAGATTTTTATGTGTTAGATGTAAGTTAATCTTTCATAGGAATTGAATGAAAATGAAGCCAGCATTATAAGTAAGAGGATATGACAAGTCTTACTGTGAACTTATCTCTGGACTGCTGATTTAGACATTGGAGATAAGCTATGAATGGTAGCTTTGGTCATTTGATAGCTAAATATTTGCTATTGATAGATTGAATATGTGAAGAATTTGAATAACAGGCTCTGGGTTGTACTTTGTACATTTTGGGTCAGTTTAGTAATGTTTGAGCTGCCACATGTTTTCACACATTTAGCAAAATTTTACTTGTAACCTAGCAGTTTTTATCTCTGTTGCACTTGTCTCAATCTCGTCTCACTTTCGTACTTGTGCACTCAAATTTGATGTCTTTACCTTTAGTACAGTTTGTTTATATGTCTGGATTCTGGACTGATGACAGAGTATAAAATCAGCTTTTTGTTATAAATATATATATACACCATGTTGTCATATGATTTTTGGTGCATGTTTTCCAGAATTATCGCCGTGTGATAGTACATTGTTCTGGGTGAAGATTAAATCACTTAAAATTTATCATAGGCTAGGATGGTCACATGACCCGACTGGAAATTGTCTTAAGAAGTGACACATACAATACATTGTTTGGAATCATTGGTGGCATGCACATTTTGGGACTGTCAGCAGACATGATTATTTCCAATTTAAATCTGAAATCTGATTTTTTTTCTTGGAAGTTTTTTTTCCCTTACGCAATAATTTCCAGACTGTTGGCTGTATGGCCACTGATACATTTTTTCCTATTTTTTTCTTACAATCTACAGTCTTTGTCACTGTCTGGCGCTGACAATGCCAAGGCATACAATACTTCTGCTCATGTATTGGTATGTGTATAACTGTATGGATATAGGATACTTTATAGTCATGTGCTTGTTTGAAGATTGGAAAATATCATTTCTGGAATTCACATTTGGATATTAAGAACATGCTTTAAGGTATATAAACAGTTGTGGTTTAACATTATTTTACAAGGAAGAACTTTATTTGCAAGGTCTGCTGAGCAGAGCGTAATTGTTAACTTAAGAAAAAAAGTTCTCAATACGCTGTCAGATATACAGCATGTGATGTGGAGCGGGGGTCGCGGGGGATTGACCTTGCCAATTACCATCTCAAAGAGATCAAAGGCAGAACACATTTATCTTTAATATGCCACAAAATTGATGCAGCAGTCCAACCTAAAATAGATCCTCTGTGATCCCTGCTCTTGATAACGCTGTACAGAATTCCTGGGGTGCCTTGAACATGCCTGGTAATTGCAGCATTTGAGACAAGGACATGCTCCATAATGTGGACCTGGGTTGGGGGGGGGGGGGCTGCGGAGGGCATTTGCAGTAGTTGTGTAAGAGCACATTTAGAACAGCGGACTAACAGATCTATGGATCAAATATGGCCGACCCACTTGAATGCTTGTTGTGTAATTCCTGCGGGGCATCCACTCAGCATCAAATGTCGCCATGTTTGATCTGTGGATCTGTTAGCTTGCTGTTCTGAATGTGCTGTAACATGATGTTGCCATCTGCGTCCCTCATGTGACAAACACATGGAGAGAGGGAGAGATGGAACCCAGGACAAGGACTGAATAGCTAACATGTTATGTTGATAGCTTCCTGATGCTATGTCACAAGGCGTTTTTTTTTATTCCGGAAATGATAAGTTTTGGTTTCAGCCACAAGTATTATGTTTGGTTGTAAGAAACTGTATTTGCAATATGAATACATTGTTCTTTATCACTTTCTATTTTTCCTTTACCATGAGAGAGAGAAAAAAAATAGGGAGGTTGAGTTTTCCAATCTTTTCTTTAAAGCACTGTTTGCTCTTATTGAAATGTGTGTCAAATGGCATGCCTGTTCTAAGATAAGACAGTAGCCATACATCAAATGCAGTATTTTAATCAGTGTTTCATTTCCTCCTATTTTTCAGATGCGCAGTGCCAACAGTGCAGAGTACGGCTCAGAAGATCTCAATGGCTGCCTCCAAATCTCGCCAATCAAGCCACGTGACTCCCCCATGGGGGATCACCACAATGACAGTGGCATTGGTAGGTGGTCGTCGTACGGCTCGCTCCCAGGCACAGCGTCCGGCCACTCAGCAGGTGATCTGAGATGGAGATTTAGATGTGGAATCTTTCATTTTGTTTTTATCCACTGTTTTTTTTCCTCTCTGGCACAATTGGCTGACTGAATTTTTCTTGTGGCTTGATTTAGTTATAGTTGTGTCTGAATTCTTGTAGAATTATTTTGAGTTGAGACTTGCTATCTGCATTTGGAATCTAATGAAGTTATTTCCTCCAAGTTGCTGCAAAGCAGAAAATTGTCATTTCCAGTGCAGATATTTAGTTTGGATGCTGTGATATTAGATTTGGTTGACTTCTCTCTATCTTCCACCTCCTGAGTGCAGTGACGTGTGCTTCATCACCACTTTATATTAGAATGTCACTAGTCATGATTTCAGTGGCAAGTTTTCCATCCTGAAAGTTTGTCGATTCTGTTTTTTTTTTAGTTAATTCCAGTTCTCTACTTTAGTTTGGTTTTATGGATGTCTGAAAAATCCCTACATAGCATGAATTCAATGATTTACCAAACTATTCTCAGATACATTTTTAACCTATATTTGTAGCCGCATATATTTTGAATCACACTTTTGTATCATCAAATAAAAAGTAGAGCTGTATTTAAAACTCCTGAAAACACTAATTATAAACATTATTTTTTCTTATACTTTGAAATAAAGAACAACTGTCAATATGGTAACTGAAAAATTAAGAGCATTTCTATGTCATCATTTAGTGAAGGTAAGTATAAGCACCCATCAAAATTATGCTCTCGAATCACATAAAATATTTTTATTGATTTGTTTTGTTGTATCCGCGCAGGAACCCTGTATTCCAGCACCCATTCTAGTCGCAGTAACACAGCCAACTACAGTAACCACCAGTCCCCTGTGAGCATGCACGGCAGTCCCATGATGCCGCACATGAGTGATGATGGGTACGGCTCCGCGCCTCTGTGGCACAAATTTTCATTTGTAGTTGTCTTAATTTGAAATGCCTTTGGGACATGAGGTGAAATTATGAGGGTTTTTTTAAGCACATATCTATTTTATTTGTTAAATTGTTTTCACCTTGTTTTTTTTTTCTAGCATTCTTATTTTTGAGTTAATTTCCCTTAGCTAGGAACACATATATTCATTTGGTTGGAAATATCAGTGTGATCACATCCATTTGAACTCTTGAGTTGATATAATAGTAGGTATAAAAGTTTCTTATGCACTGATATCTTTGGTTTCAGGATGAGTGGCTTCTCCCCCAACCCTCATCACCAGATGAGCCCTGGCGCACCCCAACCCATGACGAACATGACACAGCAGCAGAGCATGACAATGGTGGCCCAGCAGAACATGCCCCTGCCCCAGGGGAACATGACCATGCAGCCATCACCCCAGCAGAGTATGGGGATGCAGCCCCAGCCACCCCAAGGGAATGGCATGAGCTACTCACCCCCAGACTCTTCACTGAACCCACACCCCAAGTTACCGTCCATTGCCAGAGTGCCTCCACAACAGATGGCAGCACCGCAGGCTCCTCCTCCACAGTACCCTGGATATCAACAGCAGTATCAACAACAGCAGCAGTACCAGCAGTTTAACCAGCAGCAGATGCCCATGTCTAATGGTAAGTTATCATTGGAGTGCCAGGGTGATTGCTTCATATGCCCACAACTACAGGCCTACCCAACTACCAGACACGGCACCGAACGATCCTGAATTCACCGGTAAATCGGACCACACTACCCATTTTCAAGGTGTGTATCAGTACGCATTTCACAGTATCAGACGCGACACCGCTCTTGCCTAGTATGCGATGTGATAGTGACAATTCTGAGCCGGGTTGCATTGCATTGCATTGCATCACCACTCAAAATTTGTTCAGGGTATGATACTGTGTAATGCGTACTGACTCACACCTTGAAAATGGGTAGTGTGGTCTGATCTACTGGTGAATTCAGGATCATTCGGTGCCGAGTCTGGTAGTTGGGTAGGCCTGAACTACTTTTGTTTAATGTTTTTATTTAAAAGATTAATTTTCAGCAATGTAATAATATTTCTTATCGCACATGTGCATGCAAAGTAAACAAGCCAATTAGGGAGATGTATAGAGAATAATAAAGCATAAAGAACACAATATTAGACATTTTGAACCTAAAATTTAAATTGCCTCTCTCTTCCTTGTGTGTAGCTTTGATAACTAAACACTGCTTGTAATGACTCGATCTTTTCAGTGGGGAAAAATCAAATTTTCATATATGTAATTGTAGAATCATTAAAAATGATAGGAATGTTTGAATTTTAAGAATATATGACTTAATAAAATACAAAATCTGTAAAAATCACTATTTTCCCCATGAAAAGATCGACTCGTTACATTACTCGATGTATTGAAGTCTGATTGGGTTGTGTTTGCGCTCTGTCCACTGCTTTGTACTGACCTGGAACAGGCCGCGGTCATGCCTGTCCTAATGTCCAGTGTACGTTTCTGTTGCAGTGAACAGTGGTGGAGGCGGGCAGTACATGCAGGTGCACACCTCGTACCAGAACTCCATGACACAGCAGGACACCGTCATGAACCAGCAGGCCAGCATGAACGCCATGAACATGGCTGCCAACAACATGAAGGTCATGCGCCAGCCGAGTCCGCGCAGCATGGTCCCCATCCCAGCTTTCGAAGACACTATTGCCAGTTTGACTCTGGAACAGAAATCAAATGGTATGTAGTTCTCCGTAAACTCTCGGACTCATTTCATTTGGCCTAGTGTTTGTGGGTGTTAAATGGAAACATGTTGTATACACATATGGCAAAATTAAATATTTTTTTAACATGGTGACTGAAAATATGATTTGTTATTGTAGTCATAAGTCATTTTTTTGTCTTGACTTACAATTAAATAATATAATTGTGATGTACTTTTGGCCTGCAAGCCTGCAATACTGAGTAAATGAACTTTGAATTTTCAAAATATGATAAACTTGATAATTAACAACTTCATTGGTCTTTGTTACATATCTTATTTTGAGACAGGTACATATCTTCTTCATTTGATATATTTTGTTGTAGTAAAGTTAATAAAGTAAATATGTAAAAGATGAACGTGGATGGAATAAAGTAATTGTGTAAGAATTAACAGACTTTCTTTTGTTTGCAGGCTATGGTGACTGTAGTCAGGGTGGTTTTGACGGGATGGGTTACAGTGAAGAATCCAATCAGTTTCTTCAGCTGAATGCTGTGGACAGGTGTAACAGCCAGCTCTCTGCAGTCTTTGCTGATGGGTCTTCATAACACTGACGTTTTACTAATGGCTCCATAGGCTGCTCCCATTGCAACAGGTTGTCCACGGCAACAGACTGCAGCACAAGTGCCTTGAAGTTTAAAATTTACATTCTGCAAACTGTGTCCATTGTACTATTTACATGTAGTCCATCCAGCTTGATTTTTAAGTCAGAAACATTTTCAAAAACTATTGTCATGGAATTTCTTTTTGCACTGTCACAAGTTCAGCATGGAGAAAGTAAATGATGTATGATCAGGACAATGAAGATGCCAGGCATACTTGGTATGATCGCAGCAGAAGACAGCAGTTAACTTGAAGGCATTGTAACATTTTACCGGTGGTTTGATTGTTTACTTTGATAGAGGATAGTCTTTCCATTGAGGGTTGAACAGGTATATGAAGAGGTGCCAGATGTATGGAGATTGAACAGTTGGCTGCTGTTGATAGAAAAGTGCATTTTTGAAAGATTCATGAAAGAAGATACTACTAGATATTATTATGGTGGAGTGGGCAAAATCACTCTTAAGTTTAATTACAGTTTGGTTTTGTAAATCGTATTATGTTAGACCCACATGCATACATGTTTACACATTCATGTGCCGGCACGTGCGCGCACACACACAGACACACATAGATATTCTGTTTTATTGTGCAAGATAAATGCATGATGTATATATATTTTTGTATGTGCCATACAATTTGAGCTATAGTGATTAGGTATTCCCCTTCAGTGGACATAATCATTTTGATATAAGGGGAAATCAAGCTCAATGCTATGTGAAGCAATATGACTTGCTTGCAAGAGAAATTCCGTCCTAACTAGTATTGTACTTCAACAATCAAGTAGAACAATCAAATTTTTTAAAGACTTTAAATATAGCACATTTGTCTCACTGTCTTATTATTGTTTCATTGTGACTTCAAAGGGAGTAGCACATGAAACGTCTGCATTTATGTCTTTTTCCAAACACAATGCCATCCATCTTCTGTCAGCCAATGAAATTATAAAATGTATCATGAAGAATATTGGTAACTGACAGTTGAATGACTATTTATTATTTACATTTGTTTGAAGGTTAATTTTATTCAATTTGTGTAATTTCTAAACTCACTTAATGTAGATAAAGCACGGCAGACGTTGAAATGGATTTGACAAAGTCAGATGACCGATAGCTCGACCAGGCCCAAGTATAGCAAGCTTACAGTATATAGTTGCACTCAGAGAGAGTAGAGCAGTAGCATAGCAAGGCTTAATGATATACAGGCAATGTGTTTAATGTAAACAAATTGACTAAATTACTTAACTGCCATTTTGGTGTATATAAATATATATATATTGATTTAAAAAAAAAAGCAATTAATGTGATTACTAAGAAGGATGAGTAAGCAGCTAGTGCTGAAGAACAACCATGACGTGATCGATCAGTGATGATTGGTTCAAAGTTTGCTATGTACAAGCATAGGGGATGTAGAGGCTTAAATAACGCAGTAGTGTACCATGGCTTCTGGCTGTCCGTAGCTTCAGTGTCAGATCAGGACAGACCTCTGGATCAGAGAACAACGGTGTTGTCAACTCATACTGTACTACTGGTGTGGATTGAAGGCACTTCAACTCTTATTTTATCATTTATAGTGTGTTGCAATTGTGTGCCTGTGAATGTGAACTTGTTTAATATTATGAATATTATTGTGTTTATTACTATCATTATGTGTTTTCTTTAATTATCATTAATCTTGTTATATATATATATATATATATATATGTCATTATTTTGACTAGTTTATTGAAAATGATAACTCTAGTTTCATGTGCACCCACACGTCCACGTGACACTGTTTTGTAATATATTGTTCACTGTACATGTCAACAGTTCTCAAAAACAAAGGTTTATTTTGAAGAGTTAAATATAGTTTAGTCTAGTTAGGGAGTGACTGATATATTTACATATTATACCGTCCAAAAAGAATTTTGAAGAAAAGATATATTTTGTAATTAAAATAAATCTATGATTGCAGGAATCCTATTTTTGTGTATGTAAAATGCTGAGCATATATAGGAATTGAGAAAAGATGCATTTATATTAAATCATTCCTTTATTCTTTGTATGGTTTAAGGTATTTATGATCACTCAAAGTGCTTGGTTTATTTAACAATCGTGTGGCCAAACTTGATTAAAACACATTTCATAATATCTAGTCAGTTCAGTTATAGTTTTAAAATAGACGTAATTAATGTACAAAGGTAATGTTAGGCAGTAAAAACAAAATCACATCTGATTGAGTAGATAAAAATAGAGCAAGAACAGGCCAAGTTTCATTGAATGCCAAAGTTTTAATATAATATTTTTATGAAAGTTGCACATTTTAGAAAAAAAATGTAGATTTAGGTGATACAAACACATTTTTGTACAGAAAACTAAGTAGTGATATGCCAAATGCTGTAAAGTTTATAGCCTTTTTCATGTAGTGGTGATCAGAGCAATGGCGCCATCTAGTGTTGGTTTAGTCACACGATTGTTGAATGCTGCATGGTTGAAGATTTCCCAAATGTGTAAAGCCAAGACATATATGAAGGAAATGGTGCATGACTCTTTGCCAAAGCAAATGTTTCTTTTTTTGTTTCAAACTTTGAAGATATTATATTTCTTGGTATGTAATACAATTTCTTTTCTTTGCAAAATGAATTATGTTGGAATATTATTATTGCCACAATTACAGAATTTTATATTAACGTGAAAAAATGTATGTTATATTTGATTGATCAAAGTGCACTGGTTTTAAACTGTACTGAACTTCACAAAGCGAGACAGAAGTTTCATTTAATTAAGGTGACCATTTTTGCCCCAAGGGGTTTAAGTGAAGTTGAGTTGCTAACCGTAAGGGTAAAATTGATTTTTAATTTCCTTGTAATATTGAGGCTTGTAAGGACCACTACTTTCTCATAACTCAGATAAGGTTGAAGAACTAACAGCTTACTGTAACATTTCTAGAAGGTGAAGTAAGGAAAAACTGAGTGCTGTGGATGTAGTTGGAAGCCAGCATAATCTAACAGTTTAGGTCTTTGGTTTCATGTGCCCATTTTGGAAAGTATTCCTTTAAGACCATATCATAAACTTGTTTGTCAATAAATCATTATTTATTCAATGCAAGTTTTTTACGTTTTTCTTTCCTTCATATAGAACTGTTTGAACTGAATAAACCTAAGACAATCATAGATTACATCTTTCAGTTACTCCTTTGTACCAAGGAACTTTTAATATGGGCGTGTATTTTTGCGTTTGTCTCATAAAAGCAAAGAAAATAATTATAGAAATTGGATTTCCTGTTGTTTCCCCAAGCAAGCTTAAAAATAAAAAGCCAGAATAACTATAGAAGTACTAGTTACAACTCGACTTTTCCATTTATGAAATATAAGTGATTATGTCTGGGTGTTGCCGAGATATTGTTTGCTCTTGTATGTGGCAGAGAGTGGATGGCAAGTACTAGTAGTTTTAACTGACTTCCCATCCAAAAATAGGATGATTGCACTTGTGTTTCTCTCAGAGAGCAATTTATTAAAATACAGGCGCGACTGTAAGCAAAATACAAGTGTAAGAATCCTACTGTTGGAAGCGCCGGCCATGGTACTTTACCAGTAGTACAGAAAAGAAAGAAAGAAAAATAAAAAGTTTGTTTCTTTTCTCTTTTTATTGCTCCCCTTACTAGTATGTAATATTTACAGAGAATACACAGAGATCAATACTGTACATGTCACCCATCTCATCCTCTAGTTCCTCAACACGTTAATAAGCCATTTTAATGTGAAGAGCTTGATCTGACAATTATCTGACTTTCACTTTCACTATCCACATGCATTGTAGAATCAATTGCCATGAAGTTTTGACTTGGGATTAGTTACCCGTTCTCCAAATGATTAAATACTGCTCTGTTTGTGACTGGAACAACAATGTATCTCCAATGCATAAAGGTTACAAATCTTGAATGCACTCTACACATACAAAATACAAGATGTTCATATATCTAAAAACCATTAAAAAATGCACCCTTGAATATAATAGAACAGCATTGTCTCTACAGCAGCACCATACAGATAAATATAGAACAATTTCTAGACAATATCTAGATTTAACATGCAATCTTTACACTAATGAAAAAAAGAGATTCTACTCTAGACATGACATATTTACCCCGACCTACCAAACTGGTGACATGAATTGGTCAAAGAACAGGTGTTTCATGGTCTGGAAAATACCCTTTTGTTTCACAAATACTTGGAAAATGTCTGAAGATATATATACTATATATAATATATATACATGTATAAATTTAAATGTTGACAAGATGCACAACCTTTCAGCAGCTAAATTAGACCAGCACTACAGCTAAATATATATATAAGTCAACTGCAGTCCTTTTCACATTGAGCAGTACAGCATATGATACAGCACCACTTTGACTGGTCCTAACATAAAGTTCTACTCACTTCCACAAGCCCCAATGTAGAAAACAAAATTTATGCCATAAACTAGCAGTGTCGAGTGCTCCTTTTAGACGACTCTCTTCCATAACAGCCAGCTGGCTATCAAGTTGTCCATCTGTCAAACTGGAGAGTTATAATTTACTGTACTGCTCGCAGTGAAAAAGGTCCCAAGCTGGTGCAGCTACAGACGACTAGCCTACAAAATTGCACAACCTTTCCCCCTGTATTGACTCTACAAGTACAGATTTCAAGATACGATACACATTATTTTAACAAGTTCTAGGAGTAAAATACATACAAAAGTCCTGTGGCAAGTATTTTTCCTAAATGCTCAATCTATAAATTTTTATTTTCATTTGTTTTGGTCATAATTCAAACCGAGAAAAGGGTTTACACAATATCTCATGTCTTATTACCATATGGAAAAATGCAGTTGGCCATATAAAAGTATATACAAATTATTGCCAAGTTTAATTTCTGTGACCCTTCTTGGATATAAAAAATTGTGCCCATGACGTACTTCTTCAGTATGAAACAATGACTTTTCATGAATACATTCAATATAACCAGATATGTGACAATTTCAAATCTTCAGGGATAATTCTAGATCTGATTTTCAGAACTAAGAAATAAATGATCCTTATTAACATTATCATTCAGCAGATGTCAGTTACTCTTAATAAATCATCTGCTTAAAAAATTGATAACATTCACACTGTCATACTTTCAAAAATTAAAGACAATTGTGTGGATCAAGATATCTCTTGAAGACATGCAAAATAATATATGTTCTATATTCATATAAAATAATATAATTAGGAAGACTTTGCATAAGCAGCATTGTGATAACATTATCTAAAATTGGAAGCAAATAACAGACTTCACTGAAGCATCTATGTGTATTATATAACCATGTATATGGAAAAAGTATTATGATATGAATAAGTGTTTTGAGACCGTTAGCTTAGTGGAATAGATTTCTAACCCCCCAATATAACTGCAAAGTAATCAATGTTAGTCAATGTGTTACCAAATGAAAAGATTTGAAATTTGAATTGAGATTTCTTTTACCAAAATAAATGAATACATGCTAAAAATAGAAGAGAAAAAAATTTGGGAACTTAATTATCATGGCACATAAATAATACAATGAGCAATACTACATCTTACCCTTGCACAGCATCAAGTGTGAATGAACAAGCTACTGCAGGAATTCAGATTCCTTAATCTCAAATATGATAGAAAATGGCTGTCAAATTATGACAGTTCACTCATGCAAACTACACATGTATTGCACCTAAATTAGTATTATAACCACAGAATGCATTATTGAAAGAAGAATTCAGTTATTACTACTATGAACCAAAGTGCAGATGGCATTAATATTTCCACTCCTACATAAACATTTAGCTCATCATTATTTTTTTTATAATCAGACGACTGATATAAACGGCATTCTTATAGTTTAATACAACTGGATAAAAAAATTGACAAAAGTGGTGCAATGTAATACAGATGAAACGTTCTTATAAATCCTAATGCCTTGCACAAGTAAATATGACTGACTGGACGCTCTGACTAATGCCCATACATTTTATACATGCTGAAGATGGTGTGTGACCCCCCCCCCCCCAAGGTCTGTCCCCAGGGTTCAGTACCCCCTCTGATACTGTGGCTGTGGCTGGTAATTCTGCTGTGGATATGCCTGGAACTGGGCCTGGGGACCTCCTGACTTCTGTAACCTGGGCACCCCAGGCCGGAACACCAGCATGTTGAGGACGGGTTTTCTCTGGATGTAGTCCACTGCCTTCTTGTGGGTCACTACTGTCATGTCATGGCCATTGACCTGCAATGGAAAATACAAGTTGATTAAAAGACCATTCCCAGAGACTATCGTACTAACTTTGGATCGAACTATCTCCGAGGGAATTCTAGCTTAATTGCAATGAAGTTGGGCGGCTTCGATGTCTGTCACGCCTGCTGAGGCTGATAGGGGTAATTAACTATCGTTTAGCAGCTTTAGTGGGCGTCCCAGACATTTAAGCCACTTGGGCTGAGAGCAATTTAGCGAGGTACCCTGTGGAGATGGACTGATCCTGTTAGATCAATCTAGGGATGGGAACCTAGGGTGTCCCAAACAAGGCAGCAAGGCTGTAAAACGAGCAGGCATTAAACAGAAAAAAAAAATTGAAGCACAAGAAAAGCAGTTTTTCTGGTCAATTTGATGCAATATCATATATTAATGCTTTTAAGCAGCATAATTACCATGATTCTAAATATGTACTACTGTTACTGTTGACTTTCACAAAATAAAACTGGCACAGGGCTTTGTTATGTTAACTCTTTGTTAAAATAAGTTTATCAGTTTGCACATTATAATTAGTATAGAGTGAAGATATCAGATTGATGTTAACATATGTCTGTGAGTATCATAAAACATTAGTTCATAACAAAAGAACATCAGCAACCTTACATGTTAACTTATCCAAGAATATCATCAGCTTCAAGTCTACAGTAAAGTGTGATATCTAACAAACTGCATTACCTGTAATATTTTGTCGTGAACTTCCAACCCACATTGAGCTGCTGGTCCATTTTCATAGATAAATGTCACGTAAATACCCTTAAAAATAAAAATTGTTTTCTGTTAATTAACTGAAGGCGTAGCAAATCTGACATCTGATCTTTTATCTCTGGACACCAATTTCAAAACTCCGTGTCAAAATATTTTTTTAAAGTTATTCAATTTCTTCATTACATTACTAGTATGTTGCTTGACCCCAATAAAATGACATCTTACAGTGTCAGGGAAACACCAATTCATATTGCTCTTCCAATGCTGTTTAATACGAGCTTAAGCCATTTATCATCTCACACCTTATCTGGATAACCCTGTGGACTCTTGGAATTATCTTGGTCAATTCCACCACCAATCTTAAAGCCGCATCGAAACCTCTGCTTGCCATCTTGGTCATAGACTGGGTTGCCGTGCTGGTCTCGGTCTGGCTCTTTGTGTAACACGATTGGAATCTACAAAATAATTGCTTAATTTTCAATTGGATTTTCAATCTTTCTCCTCTCCCACAATAAAAACCATTTAATGAGTATTACATGGCTAGACTCAGGTTTTTTCATTTCCATGGATGCTTGCTGTGAATGATTTACCAATTAATTTTGCAGAGTAATTTGACAACTTGAACTTCCTTGAAGAAATAACTAAGTGATTGGGACATATGAATACGATCTATGCCTACTGTTAATCCAAATGTAACTTAAAAACTCAATTAATCAAACATTTGGCTTGCAAATCAATTACATAATTAACAGGGATCATTATTGTTAATCTTTTCTGTTACTCTTTTCCAGTACAAAAAATATTTCAAAATCTGGTGACAGACTTTATCATGATTTCCCTTAAAACATAGCATGCTTCAACATCACATTGCAGAAAATGTAGTTTATTACAAAACTCCACAAAAGGTTTAGATTATGATGTGGATGTTTTTGTAACACAAACCAAGATCTTTTTAGCCCGACTGCAGCTTTAAAACTGCTTCAATAAAGTGGATGACAGCACAAAGAAAGGTTAGTTCTTTGATGTACAGAGCTATCATATAATGGCTCTTTCATGTTTAATGAGTTGTTCGCAGGTTATTGCTATCTGGGTTTATTTCAAAGGGTTATTGAAAAGTTGTGCATTAAGCATAAATACAGGAATGGCTGTATTCAACTTCCCAACAGCATAATAAACCTTTATGTAAAACAGAAATATCACATAAAATCCAATGAAAAAAACCCTGCTATACAGATTGCTGTTTTATTGATACCATATTCTCCAGTATAAATCTGAAAGCAATGTTTAAATGTTTAATGGTAGTTGTAAACCTCATATAAAAAGCGACTTATGTATGTGTTATGAAACATAAATGATAATTGCTTCATTACAAATTTTTCCAGATTAATTTCATTGATGCGGTTGCTCTCTGTGAAATAGTTCAGACCCCCACCCTTTTCCAAGAGGGAAATATGCCTGATTGCTTTTCAACCTCTAGCCAGGGGCCCTGATTTGTAAATTTCAGCTTCACAGTCAGCTTAATAAGAAGCATGTAGAGTGATGTAAGAAAATTAGGAATACACATGTATACTAGTAAGCTTTGACCTGTCACATCTAGACTGCTGCTTTGAAAACAGACATATTGTGTTTTTATGACCAAGGTGATTTGACTTGTTATCAACATGTTGAAAGTAGAGTTAATATCATGAGCTACAGCCTAATCATATTTATTTATTATATAAACTAAAATAATTCAAAACTAACAATTTTGGCACACTTTAAGTTTAATAAAAATTGCATGCTTTCATCTACTATGAATTTGTAAGGTAATATGGTAATAAGAAGTAACCAATAAACACACCAAATATGTACTAGCAATATAACACCTGATACTTTTCCTTGCACAAATTTTTAATTTCCTTCATCTCTGATGTTTTTTATCTTCGTGTGTCGAGGGTAGTTAAAGTCATAGTTTATGACAAACATGGAAGAAGAATGTCCACATAGGATGGCTTTCCCAAGCTGTTACGCTATGTTCAAGCATTTTGTAGACTGGCTCCATAAGTGTCACAATGTGACTAGTGCAAGCATAAATTAATTCATAACACCCTCCTTTCTACTATATACATTCTTTAGAGTATAGCAGGCTTGTCTAGGTTGACATGTGGCTAAGTGGTCCTTGACGTAATCAATATTAATGTTATATTTCTAACCAAGGAATAGTGACAAAGGTGAAGTTAAATAGTCATTTTCTCTTCTTGACATAATCAATATTAATGTTATATTTCTAACCAAGATCAACCAAGGACTCGTGACAAAGGTGAAGTTAAATAGTTATAATTTTCTCACTGACTTCTCATTTAAATTTCACTTTGTTGCTTTTAAAAAAGTGGAGTGTGACACTGAGTTATTGGTCACAGGCTAATTACAATAAGATTTTGGTCTCAGGCTAATTACAATAAAAACGAACCGCACAGTCCCCCGTGATGAGAGAGAGTATATTTTTAACAACGCACCACAAAGACGTACAGGTGTGAATGATGAGTGTGTCACTTGCAACAGATCTAAGTTTGGAACTGAAAACAAATCAATCATACAAAACGATGCCTTCTTTAAAATGTAACGAGTTGTGATAAAAAAGCTACTTAGAAAACTGGAACTTGGTACCCTCCCGTCAAAAGTACAGTGAGTAATTAGACTTGACAGCGCCTTCAGGGACGGCGGAAACAATCGCTGCAAACTTGGGCACAGTGCCACCGTCAGAACATAAACGCCAGGTATTCCAATGCCGTGGAACTACCTTGGCATAAGGCTTCATGTAAAACGTGATCTTACAAAGAGAATACACACTTACGCTGTAACATTCCAGAGGTTCCCCCGCATTGTGTTGCCCAGCCATCGTCGGCTTCTCACAGTGAAATGCATTATGGGTAAAAGAGTGAAAAAATGATTACAGACACCTAGTTGGAGCAGGAAGAGGGCAAAAACATTAAATTATACTTAATTTAAAATCATTTTTAATTTTGAATAAAAATATTGCACTCATACTTCAATATTACGCATAAATATTAAATCACGCTTGATCGGTGATATTAGTTATCAAGCATGGCGGCATCATTCAAACACGTTTCCCCTTCGCTTTGAAGAAGTGCTCCATTCAGCTCTCCTTTGTGTTTTTGAAGCAGTACTAGAGCTGTACCTTTGCTCATTATGAAAAGCATCGTGTACTGGTATACATCAGAGGTAACAGCCAAATTAAAATAAATACAGATCATAAAATAAACATAAAAAAATAAGCAGCAGTGCGTGGACTGGAGTGTCTCGCTGTCTGTTGACACTGGAGTTGGGCAGTCTTGGGATGTTTGAAACAATAAGCCTTCAAAAGTATATAGATTCAATAATTGTAAAGTTCAAAGGCAAGGTTGTATGTAATTGATGATCAAAAGAAAAAAGGGACTAAGGAAACGTGTTGTTGCTACCTTTTATATTACTTTTATTATCAGGTTTTCAAATGGAGGACAGGTGCAGCAGTTGCTTGGCTCTTGATTCTCCTTCCAACGCTGGTTTCCATCTACATCACTGCAGCTAACTTCTGTATACTGCATCCTTTTCTCTGGATATCTAGTAAGTCATGGTGAAATGGAAAGGGCAGATATGTTGAATACATTTTGTATCCCAAACATTTTATGTTTTTTTTTGTTGTTGTCTTATTGCATTGATTAATTGGTATATTTATAACTAGTAAAGTGTTTTTTCTTGATGGTTTTCATTAACACTCAGCATAATTCCCAGCTGGTGAGCAGGGGATTATTAAGTACACACAACTTTTACTCATTAAGCCTCATTAAACTTTTACTCATTAAGCCAAGCATTAGATCACACTCGTAATGGTATCTAATGGGCATTGAAAGGAATGTTTGCAGAAAAAAGGAAAAGGATCAGATCACTTAGAAGGAAAAATGTTTTTTTAAATATCTCCTAGTTTTTAGTATTGAATAATTTGTTTTTCCCCAAAATACAGTTGAATAGTCCGTAGAATGATATAATTTACACTCATTATATTCCTTACCTAAATAATACTGGATCTCACTTGGAAAGTTATTTATTTGGCAGGTACCTTTGGATGTATCTTGAAGCTGTCTACATGGGGCTATATTATCCTGCTGTCAGTGCTCACAGCATTAACTGTAATATGTGATTCTGCATACTATACAGGTAGGATAGCCAGATTGGTGTGCAATAAAAATTGAGGATGTACAATTTATTTTATGTAATCATATGGTCAGTAGCCAGAATCTTCATATTATGGCATTTTTGATATTAATATTTTAAAACAAGAAATATGTTTAGTTGTCAAATGTTTTTATATTTCATTATACATCATTTTATGTAAACATTTTCCTTACATTTTTATTTTAGTCCAAGGCAATGTTATAGGAAACAGGGCAGGGTATCTGTGGACTCTGGTCCAGCTTTCCCATGTATTCCATGGAGCTGTCCATGCTGTGGCAGGGGGAGTCATCACTTGGTGCTGTGTACAGATAGTGGGAGGTGGCTACCAGGGCCTCTCTCTACAGTGTGAGCCAGCAAGGTGGGCAGACAGTGTTATTTAGACTTTTGGGTTAGGTTTAGATATGAGATGATCCAACTTCTTGTCAGATATTGTTTTGGAGAAATGTTTTTGGAGCTTCTTCTGTTTGATGCAGTAAAACGCAAAAAAGGGTATGATATTATAACATGCTGTACAGCCATTCCACGAAAAGGGGTACAATTCCAAAACAAGAAATGCAGCGATATGAACTTTGCAAAACTGGAAAACTTTTTATATTATTTTGATGAAGAGGTATTCAGAGAGTAGTAGAAGAATTTTAACCCACACCATTACTGTATTTAAAGAAATATGCACGTGTAAACATGGTACAGCATTTTTTTCGTTACGGAGGTTAGGTAACATCTAAATTAGGTTATATTTCAATCATGCCAAAGGTTACAGGCTCCATATTTGATTCAATTATTAAGATTTTGTATGTATTCAAAATATTATTGCTCATTTAAGATTTCTCTTCAATTATAGAAAATGCGGTGCAAACACATTGGTAATAAGTGGCTCGTTTTCTATAAATACAAAGGCTGAGATATTCCAATTTAAATATTTTATTAATCGTTGGGGACAGACTTGCTTTTTTATCATACTATTTGTTTATGAACAAAGTGCTATCAATCTATTATGATATAAGCATTGATCAATGAGCACACACATATCCAATGTTCAAATGAAAAATGAGTAATTTCGTAACGGAGGTTAGGTCATTCTACATAGGTCAGCGATCATATATTTGTTTTGATATTTTTAACTTAGGTAGACTTCAGAAGATGAATTCGGAATTTATAGTATTACAGATACGACAAATAGGCCTATAATAACATGGAAAAATTGATAAAACATGTTTATTCAAACCATTAAATGGCAAATGGTTACAACGGGTTGTTTTGCTTACTTTCAAGGACTATATAAATACATTTACCACTACTGGATAGATTTCACCGCTAATATGTTGATCTATGTATCTGTAGAATTCACATTCCATATTTTACCAGAGTAAGAGTGTAATTTATAATCTCAGTAACAGAGGTAAGGTAAAACTCTAGTCTAAATTATGTCATACATTTAAACCGTTCAAAATATTTCACAAGAAAAGCTTCGCGGTCATTAGATTTGTTTTCTTTCTCTGTAGTGTTTTTGTCTCTCTGTATTTGAAAGTGGCATATTGGTGTCTGTATAACAAAACATTAAACCTACATGCACATGATCGCAGTTATAGGCAATAAAAAACAACAAAATACCCGAGAAAGTTAATGCATACAATCAAGTAGGCCGACAATAGACACGTGTTTGCCAATAACTGTCCATTTAAAGTTACTGGAAGCATCTAGAAGATGATAAAAACTATTATGTGCTACTGAAATAGTAAAATAGGATCTAATAATCCCGCAGTTCTACCTGATAAATATAACTGTTGCTTCAATGCTTAATATATTTCGCCATATGTCTCCCGCGAAAATAATGTCTGCTACATGCACGTTAGTACTGATGTCAGCTAGTACCATTTTTCTTGCCAAGACAGTCCTGAAAACTACTCATTTCGCTTAAAATCAGAATGATAAGTTCAAAAAGGCATCGTCAAGTGACAAATGGAAATCAATTCGATAAAACAAATCACGATTTACCCTCGATTTTATAGCAAACTGGAGTAAAAACTTAAATCATTAGCCTTTCTTGATAGAATTATCAGCTATACATGTATATTTTATATCTATATTAATGCGGGGTAATGTCTTTAACAGCAAGCAGTATGAATGCATACTACATCAGAACATAGAAGTAGAACTACTTATATGATCATAATTAACTCACAAAACCACAGAAATAACGTTTTAAAGTATTTACAGTCATTTTTATAACAATTAACTTATTTCATAACGGAGGTTAGCATAACGGACGTAAGGTGACACGCATTCTTTTTCAGTTTTTATCCTAGGGATAACTTTGCATAACTATTGAATGAATTTTTTAGGAAGAAGTTGGTCCTTGCTTAAAAAAAATGATGTTTTTTACTTTCTAAAGCAACATTTTCTTCAAATTTGGTCCGTTACTGAGGTTAGGCTCTTAAATGCGACACCCCGACTTATGTGAGTTAACATTCTCTATGATGGAACGCATCATTCAAAATTAATAAATAGCACTGTTTTATTAAACTTCATGTATTATGAGTTTGAAAAATGCACAGGAAGGCCATTTAAGAGCATTTTCTTTTATTCTTACATTGACTTAAAAAAGCGTTACGGAGGTTAGGGGTTACTGAGCGACATTGATTAAACTATGACAGTGACGTAACTAACCAACAAATTCGACAGAGAACACCATGTATGATAAAAAGAAACATGAATTTAAATTAGTTGAGGACTAAAAACACTAAAACACGGGAAAATATAAACTTTTCCTTGTGGCAAATCAGCTTTAATACCGAAGCGACACGTCGAAATCGTGCTTTTTGCGGCATATAGACCCCCGGGGTTCCCGTCAAAGCAAGTGGTACCATATTAATTGTTGTTTTTTAAGTAGGGCACATCGGATCCTGCTAAAAAAGTCTAAAAAAAGCAAAATTGCAGATGCTTTTACTACCGAAAATAAGCTGCGACAGGTATTATTCAGAATTGTACCCTTTTTCGTGGAATGGCTGTGTAGGACTGTACAATTAATTTCCCTGTAACCAAAGAAAATAAAACAATGCAATAATGTAATTAAATCAGCAATAGAAAAACTTTTATTTACAAGAATGATAAGAAAAAAGTCACGAATTGAGGCACATCTAGACATCTGCCTTAAACAGTATAATAAGGTTTACTATTGGGAATATGTTGTTATTTCAGGACTTCTGCCTGTCTGAATGAACATCACCTCTTCATTGTCTTTCATGGAGTATATGCAGGATACTTCTATTCTGTGACCTTCTTTTTGCAGAACAAGAATTACTTAGAATTCCCTGTTATACAGGTAGTGTGAGGCTTTTGTGCATACAGCAGCGTGATATATTTGAACATGTAAAATGTGTTGCTGTTACTTTTTGTAATGTGGCTTAATGTGATAATTAATGTAATACACATAATGCCCATTGTTTATTGTAGGCATTGGATAGATACATTAACTTATTTCATGATATTATTATTATCTTGAAATTTCAGCAAGCCAAATTTTTCCAAGTAAAATCTGGCATAAGTCCACAGTTATTGGAATCCACAGTTACAACACTAAAGCTGATGCGTTTTTACTACTTAGGATATTTTCTCATAGGTAAGTTGGCAGTTAAACTAAGTTTTTTTTTTGTAAAAATATTAAGTAATTGGTGTATTTGTGTTAGATTTTTTTTTTTTTGGGGGGGGGGGGGATTTCTGGACTGAATTGGTTGAAATGATATTATATCTTACAGGTGCAATACCAAAGGAGTGGATAATTTATACTTTAAATCTTGAAAAGAGGTTAGTATGTTTTGTTGATTTATTATCTTTTTGCTCTGAAATTGGTTTTAAAATATCTAAAAGATTGTCAGTGATGTATAAGACCACCTTATATATATTTTCATAAAGGTTCTATTATTTGTTCAAGTTGATTAAGTTGAAGTCATGAAATTGAAAGACAAATTTATTTCTACTTGTACACTTTCTGTCATCAGTTAAGCATAATTTAGTATCTGATATCTGTAATTATTATATACATGAGCATTGGAATAACACTTTAAAGCACATCTAACTTTATATAATATCTTTATCTCTTTCAGTCCTGCTGCCCCTCTGAACTCTGTATTTGGTCTGCTGGACATTTCTCTGTTCTGGCAAACCTTGGTGACTGGTGTGTTCCTGCATTTTGTATGGAGCTTAGGAGTGGTTCTCTTCAAAGCATACAATACTGAGGTAAGTCTATTGTAGATGATCTAATCATCTAATCTAACCAACCAGTAGAAAACTAAACAATTTCTCATGCTTGGAGCCATCGTGGTCACTGACCTTCTTCACACTGACTGATGATATTTGTAACAGAGTATTGACTAAATATCTTTCTGGTGAAGGCCATCCACCATCATGGCCACTAATAAATGTATGTTGGTTGTGTTTAGATAACTTATCATGGATAACATGATGTAAGCTGGTAAACTTCAGTATGATGGTAACTTCATACTGATGAATAGAGAGAAATTATAAATAACAGAAATAGGTTGTTAAAAAAATGCTTACATTTTTAAAAGTACCAAATGCTTAATTTAAATAAAAGTGTTATTTATAAAAGTCATGTTTTGGTTGTTGCAGCCTTTACAATTACCCATAGAGTCTTCTTTTGGAGAAGAAAGCAGCAGATGTCTCCATCATGCCCTGTCTTGTAAACTGTCCATTTTACAGGTAATGTAGAGGTTTATTATTTCTAAGCAGGTTAATATTATCAAATGGTTCAAGACAAGCAAGGTCAAAATTCAGTAACAAAGTTTCAGGACTGGATTATTGCAACAATATTGTTGTGTACATTATTCCGCTGCTAAATGGATCCTCCTAGAGCCAGATTGGATGAAAATTGAAAAGTTCCAAAAATAATCACGAATCCTTGGTGCAGTCAGTTTTGAATTATGTATCTTAGTGTACTGTTACTGTGGAGGTAATAATGCTTGGTCAAGAGTCTATTTTTTGCCTCCCATGTTCATCATTCTCTTCGATGCTTGTATACAGTTATCTTTTGCAAGGTTGTACCCTGTCCCACCAACTTGTACAAAGTCGTTGACGGTCTTTCTTCCTCCAACATCCACTGATCCTTTAGATTGCCATTTGTCAGACATGTGGCGGGCGTCAGTGACCACTGTTTGGTTAGACACACCGTAGTTCTTTCCTTTGTGGACTAAATACTGGTTGCCTTTGTCAGTAGTAACCCTGGAATATTGCAAAATCTCTTTCATAAATATGTATAAATCCATTGCCAAGATGGAGTGAATCTAGACCTTAAATAAGGTAGAAATGCACTCTAAGTACAAGTTATTTATTTTCATGGTCATCAAAATAATAATTGGAAAAAGTGTTTCTGTTTAAAGTAAAATTTTGCTTTTTAGTCCTAAAAATCAGTGAGAGATTAAAGAACTGAAAACTTAATTACTTGACGCCTTCATGGTGAATGCCAACCAGGCTCCCGCTGCCGCCACCCCAGCTGGGCATGGGGCGCTTCATCCTCTCAGCACTGACCACTTTCTCATTGAAGATAGACGTCAGTCCACTCTGGGACTTAACATCATGAGGGGGACGTGCTCCTGCCATGATACTGAACTCTGGACAACTGCTGCCTGATGGTAGAGATATATCTGAAATAAGACAATTGTCACTTTATCAGTGTCAGAAATTGGAATTAAGGTTTGGTATTGATAATTACAGTTGTTTTATTAATCACAATTCGAAAATCACATGCCAAATGGTATAAATATAATATAAGCAATATCTAGATCTCGAGAAAGGTTAGAGGATTCTTACAACAACAAGAAATAAGAGATATTTTTGTTCAATATCTTATCCCCTCTTTATGCTGCCTGGTTAAAGTGAGAAATATATGCAATAAGTGTAGAAAAAAAGCACATATAAAAAGTCTGTGGTATATTAATATAAAAAATCAACAATATACAGTCAACAATATTAATATCAACAATTCTGTTAAACTCTTGTGGATGCTACAATAAGGCATTTGGTCTTAACAGCTGAGCAAAGAAAAAGTTATATTTTATAGCTATCTTACCTTATTTTTCACCTGCAGTAAAATGTGAGCTCAACAAGGATTCTTTGTCACAGTTTGATGTCAGCAGATTTTAGCTCATTTTATACCTGAAAGTGGGAATATTGTGATGTTTATGTTTTATTTTCATTCCTGGAAATACCCGTTTGTCAGCATAGGTATATTAATGGCTGGTGATTCAGAGTCACAGGCTTACTTTCTATAATGTCTGATTAGAAGTTTCACTTTGTGTATGTTGACCTACTTATTGACCATTGTTCTGTTTTGGGATTTCCCGAAGTGTATGTTACAAAAACGAAAGTTACAATACAAAATGATGCTTTACAATACAATACAAATATAATAGCTGGTGATTCAAATACAAATTGACAATACAAAATATAATACATAATTACAATTACAATACAAAATTATGGAAATCTTTGTAGTTGTATAGTGTGCTTACTCAGCCAGTAGTCCATTGTCTGACTGTTTACCTGGCATGGTGGTAAATAGGGAGATCAATAGTCAGCTGTCACAGGCTTATTGATTACATATCACCCTTATGTTGACTAATATTAGACATTTTCTTTTAGTCTGGTTTTTCCCCAAGTTTCAGTTTAAAAATATGAGATGTTTGGGGAAATTTTAGTTGTTGTAAGTTTTTTTGACCGTTGTTATTTTGAATGTGGCCAGTTTGTTTATTTAGGCACCAGCCTGATGACTTGGTTTTTACTTGGCACTTGGTGAAATTCACCAGCATTATTTGAGTGATTACGGAATTTTAAGTGATGATAGGGAATTTTTATTGCAGGTTTTTTTTTCAATAATTTAAAGTTCATTTTCCAGCAAGCCACGTTTTTCAATAATTTAAAGTTCGTTTTCCAGCAAGGCACGTTTTACGTGTATTTTTGTAAGAAGTAGATTATAGGTACTTGTTAACAGGTATTTTGAATTGATCTAGAGTCTATAATTTGATTGCCATCATAGTTCAGGGCCTTGGGCTGTGGTGGAAGGGGGCGTGGAGATAGGGGGGACCTGCCTGCTTCAAAGATTAAAAAAAAAAGAAATTTGGATCTGTATAAAGTACTTCCTGTGTCCTCTATGAACTTCAACAGCTGCCCCCCCCCCTAAAAAACTACAGCCCTGTTATTTACAGATTAATTGCAATAAATGACTGAAAGAGTGGGGGGGGGGGGGGGGTGTACAAATCACATTAAAGGCTATTCCTAGATTGTATGTAGCATTTGTTTGACTACATAAGATGTATTGCATACAAAGTGAAACTTCATCTCTTCTCAATATTTTCAGTATTTGGGTTACCTAGACTTGTATTTGCTGTCCAAGTTCTCAAAAGAAAGAAGAAAGCAGATTTATAGCCTCAGTCAGCCAGGTAATCTGTATAGAATTATGGAAGCCTTGATCTAATTTAGACAGGCTTGCTAGTTTTTCTGCAGTTTTCTTTGGATAAGAAGAAATGAATAAATGTATTGTATCATTGAATATCTGTTATTACAAAGCTTATTTATAATAATAAGTGCCAGAACCTAGTCTCAACTTCTCTAAAAAACAGCACAGATATATTTTAATTGACTTCCTCTGAAAATATATGCCTATGTCTATCACTGAAACTATTTCAATGGGCTGTATCATTTACATCCTGCATCCCATGTTAGGTGGTCACCCCCACAACTGGACCAGCCTATGTACACAGTGCTTGACCAGTATAGATGCCTTGACCAGTGCAGTGAGGCAGCACAATGATAACACAGTGGGCAATGGGGCCCTCCCATTAAGACAGCCCAGTGGAGAGAGAGCAACCAACAGAGATAAAGGTAAGTGTATTCATGAAAATATATCTAATAGATTTGATGCTCTCTTAAGTGTTTTATTTTGGCATATTTATTTTGTATTTCAGAGGACTGGTGGTTTATGTTGTACAATGATTGAATAATGAAGTTGGTAGAATAAATTGAATCAATTTTGTTGTATTTATTTACAAGTGTTTATCACATTTAGTACCTTAAGATTGTACAGAGGAGATGTTTGAGGCTGTAGAAATTACTCCACTGTAACAACATGTTGATAAGTCAGTGTTGTAACAACATGAAACTCACCCAGGATTTATTCAGAAATGCAGATATTTGGGTGTTGTATTCATGACCCCATGCACTGTGTCTTGCCTTTTAAAGAAGTCTCTCATCTCTGTTTATAGGAAACTTTTTGGGTTTTAACCCTGCTATGACTTCGATACGGAATCATACTTCCCATGTGTCACGAGGTATTGCATGTACCTGTATGTTATAGCTTACTATGCTGCCTTGTCTTCCTGGGGTGATACATTGCCTGTTTGTTTGTATTTATATACCCTAGCTTGATACCTTGATAATTCTATTTTTCCTCATACACTGGTCTCTGCAATGTAGTGTCAGTGTATACACCAGTGTATACCAGTGAGCCACAGCCTTGTTTGTGTAAGTTTCTATGTTCACCTGTGACTTGACATCTTTTTATGTACAGACACAGATGTGTCTGTACATATTGCCATCACCTGCGTCTGTCGTCGCCGTCGCCGTCGCCGATGCCGATGCCGGCGCCGTGCACTTTCCTTGTAAACACGATAAGTGGAGGGCAGTTTTACTTTTTGGCTTAATATTTACAGAGCTGATGAATATTCATAAAACGCAGGTCAAGTTCGATAACCAGCATGATCGGGCCATTATTGTAGAAGTTATGCTGTTTTTTTACTTTTCAGCATATATGCAACCCTGTAAACACATTTTAAGGAAAACCGTTAGGCCTGTTGTCATGAAACTCACAGGAGTGGTCAATCTTACTAAAACGCAGGTTGAGTTCGAAAATCAGCATAATCGGGCCATTATTTTAGAAGTTATGCTGTTTTTTCAGATTTCCTCAGATTCAACTCTTAGGCATGTTAACAGTCTCATTATTGAACTAATAAGATACGCAAAAGTGTTTGTTTGACATTTCCTGCATCTTTACAANCACCCATGTTCATCATTCTCTTCGATGCTTGTATACAGTTATCTTTTGCAAGGTTGTACCCTGTCCCACCAACTTGTACAAAGTCGTTGACGGTCTTTCTTCCTCCAACATCCACTGATCCCTTAGATTGCCATTTGTCAGACATGTGGCGGGCGTCAGTGACCACAGTTTGGTTAGACACACCATAGTTCTTTCCTTTGTGGACTAAATACTGGTTGCCTTTGTCAGTAGTAACCCTGGAATATTGCAAAATCTCTTTCATAAATATGTATAAATCCATTGCCAAGATGGAGTGAATCTAGACCTTTAATATTAAAGGTAAAAATGCACTTTAACTACAAGTTATTTTAAGCTATTTTCATGGTCATCAAAATAATAATTGGAAAAAGTGTTTCTGTTTAAAGTAAAATTTTGCTTTTTAGTCCTAAAAATCAGTGAGAGATTAAAGAACTGAAAACTTAATTACTTGACACCTTCATGGTGAATGCCAACCAGGCTCCCGCTGCCGCCACCCCAGCTGGGCATGGGGCGCTTCATCCTCTCAGCACTGACCACTTTCTCATTGAAGATAGACGTCAGTCCACTCTGGGACTTGACATCATGAGGGGGGCGTGCTCCTGCCATGATACTCTGGAACTCTGGACAACTGCTGCCTGACGATAGAGATATATCTGAAATAAGACAATTGTCACTTTATCAGTGTCAGAAATTGGAATTAAGTTGTGGTATTGATAATTACAGTTGTTTTAGTAATCACAATTCGAAAATCACATGCCAAATGGTATAAATATAATATAAGCAATATCTAGATCTCCAGAAAGGTTAGAGGATTCTGACAACAACAAGAAAAAAAAGATATTTTTGTTCAATATCTTATCCCCTCTTTATGCTGCCTGGTTAAAGTGAGAAATACATACAATAAGTGTAGGAAAAAAGCACATATAAAAAGTCTGTGGTATATTAATATCAAATATCAACAATATACAGTCAACAATATTAATATCAACAATTCTGTTAAACACTTGTGGATGCTACAATAAAGTATTTGGTCTTAATAGCTGAGTAAAGAAAACGTTATATTTTATAGCTATCTTATTTTATAGCTATCTTACCTGCAATAAGATGTGAGCTCAACAAGGATTCTTTGTCACAGTTTGATGTCAGCAGATTTTAGCTCATTTTATACCTGGAAGTGGGAATTTTATGTTGATGTTTTATTTTCGTTCCTGGAAATACCCTGTTTTATTTTCGTTCCTGGAAATACCCATTTGTCAGCATAGGTATTTTAATGGCTGGTGATTCAGAGTCACAGGCTTACTTTCTGTAATGTCTGATTACAAGTATCACTTTGTGTATGTTGACCTACTTATGGACCATTGTTCTATTTTGGGATTTCCCCAACATGTATGTTACAAAAACGAAAGTTACAATACAAACTGATGCTTTACAATACAATACAAATATAATAGCTGGTGATTCAAATACAAAATGACAATACAAAATACATACAAAATTACAATTACAATACAAAATTATGGAAATTTTTGTAGTTGTATAGTGTACTTACTCAGCCAGTAGTCCATTGTCTGACTGTTTACCTGGCATGGTGGTAAATAGGGAGATCAATAGTCAGGTGTCACAGGCTTATTGATTACATATCACCCTTATGTTGACTAATATTAGACATTTTCTTTTAGTCTGGTTTTTCCCCAAGTTTCAGTTTAAAAATATGAGATGTTTGGGGAAATTTTAGTTGTTGTAAGTTTTTTTGACAGTTGTTATTTTGAATGTGGGCAGTTTGTTTATTTAGGCACTAGCCTGATGACTTGGTTTTTACTTGGCACTTGGTGAAATTCACCAGCATTATTTGAGTGATTACGGAATTTTAAATGATGATAGGGAATTTTTATAGTTCATTTTCCAGTAAGCCACATTTTTCAATAATTTGAAGTTTGTTTTCCAGCAAGGCACGTTTTACGTGTTTTTTTGTAAGAAATAGATTAGGCCACACTTTTTTATTTTTATGGATGACATCCTCTGGGGACCCCAAAGTCGGTGCGAGCGGGCGAAAAAAAAAAAAAGTCCAAAAAAAAAAAAACTGCTTAAGAAAAGTTATGTTTTCAGTACACAGCTGGAAACACTAATTTACCACAGAAACACGTATCAAACTAACAACATGTCTTTATCCATGCTACCAAAATATTAAAGCATTGTGAATAGGGCCTACTTCGTAGAAAGGTAAAAAGTCATGAATATTTATGCTGCATATTACCAAATCTATTTAAGGTTATTTCATGCATTCTGTTGGTATAG